CCCCAAAACCCAGCCTATAGAACACAGTAATTTCTAGTTGGTTTACATGCATTGAGCATTATGGAAACTAATAGCAGCTGTACCAAATTAGTTGCCCTATTTCTTATGTTGTAAGGTTATGAGGATTTTGGTTTTTAGAATAGCTGAGACATGACTCATGGTAAGTAACTCCTAAAATATGTTTTTATGTTGATCAGGTTTAATACATAAAGTTTTTAAGAAGTAGAATACTTCTAGTTGGTATTTTTCATAAAGATTTTGTACTTCTCAAAACTTGGATTTGATATTAAGGAAAAGATACGTACAGAAGCACAGTAATCTGAATTAGTTGGTATTTTCTATGCCTTAAAAGTTACTTAACTTGGAAAACGTGATAAATATTTAGCTTTTCCTGCTTGTATATATATTTAGAGGCATGTCTAAAAATATGGATGACTTTTTTGTACCTCGCATTTTAATTCAGCAGAGATTGAAATATGTGATTTGGGATATACTTCCTGACTGTAGACTGTTGTTCCTCTGGGTGTGGAAGAACATCTTTGTTATCCTGAAGTCTTTAATTATGTGATCCACTTACTGTTTTTTTCTCTCCCTGGAATCTTTGCTTTACCTGTTATATAGAGCATAGCATATGCACTTAATGAGCAGCTGTTAGAATTATAGAATAGTTAGGGCTGGAAAAGACCTTAAGATCATCTAGTTCCAACCCCACTGCCATGGGCAGGGACATCTCCCGCCCGCTAGACCATGCCACCCTGGCCTTGAACGCTGCCGGGGATGGAGCATTCACAACTTCCCTGGGCAACCCATTCCAGTGCCTCACCACCCTAACAGGAAACAATTTCTTCCTTATATCCAGTCTAAACTTCCCCTGTTTAAGTTTGAGCCCGTTACCCCTTGTCCTGTCACTACAGTCCCTAATGAAGAGTCCCTCCCCAGCATCCCTATAGGCCCCCCCTTCAGATACTGGAAGGTTGCTCTGAGGTCTCCATGTGGTGTTTTTGTTTTCTCCTCATTAGATGTGTGTCCTAATGCCCACTTTGAAGTCAGAAATCTGAATTTTTTCCTGGGTTTTTGCTTCTGTATTATAGGAGAGTATCTGAAATTTTGTTCTCTTTTTATCACACCTGTGTAAGAGGAAAGATGGTATTATCTACACTTTATGGATGGAGAGACACAAATCCATCAGGCTCAATAAATGTGATTCTTTCGTAACCCGGGAAACTGGATGCCATTTTAGGAATTTAAAGTGCAGCTCCCATATTCTCCTTCTGCATCTTTGAATGCTGAAGACTTCTGCAGCATCAGTCCTATATAGACTGGTCATCGAGAAAAAATACCATAGAAGAGAGAGCTTGGTTCAGATGACTTCTTGGCACTTCATAGAATTTTGGTGGCAGAGACAGAAATGAAAATACTGTTCTGCATGACAGTTACATTAACTATGAGAGTGTTTTATTTCTACAACTTCAGTCTTGGTTTTACATCTCCTCTCTCTGTGTAACAAATGATATAATGCTTCAGGTCTATCTTGTGCATTAAGTCATGATGAGAATAGCAACACGTAGTCATGTTGTAACGCATATGCAGTGTCAATTGAGCTGTTGGAACAGACCACACAGACTTTTCCAGCATTTGATGTAGCAACTGTAATGTTCTCTTTATAGTGTGCTTCTTTGCTCTTAATTGAAATGTGAAATGGTATTAACTGGAAGGATCAGAAGAAGTAAAGGATCTTCCTGCCTCTTTGTCTGCCTCTTTGTATGTGGTGGTTTTCTGGATAGACTGTTGCTAAACAGAGGAGAATGCAATGCTAGGCAAATAGGTTTCATGCCCTCATCATTTTCAAAAGTGTTGAATTTTAGTCTCTGGAACAAGTCGATATAGTTTTAGAATATATGGGAAGAGAAAAGCAATAAAATTCAAATATTCACTTGAAGCGAGAAGGAAAAGGGTGTTGCTTTTCTGTAGATAGAGCATTTAAGCTGTTCTCTGTGGCTTGGATACAATCCTCACTGAACTGGGGGGAGAAAAATTGTATTTAAATCTCACAGGCATTTTTTTCCGCTTCACTTTTAAACAAAACTGTAATTCTCATTTGATTTCTTACATTTAAAGCAGCACTGTCTTTATGAAAAACTACTTTTCTACTGGGAAGGACAGGTAGAGCATGCCAGTCTATTACTGTGAAGATGTCTACACAGTGTATCGGGGAATGGGATGTAAGATCACTCTGGCCATTGCCAACTAGGCCAGTATGAGCAGGCAGTGCTTTAGCCTTGGTTCAGGACAAAGCTTGTGAGCCTTGTGTGAGCCTGTGCTTCATCTACTTAGTTGCCACTTTGTCAGAGGTCACCTCCAGAACTGAAGAATGGAATGTAGAGGTGTGCTAGAGAATTACAACTTACTAGCAAAATTTGGATGATTTCATTTATAATTGTAATTGTTGGTTGTTACAGCAATAGTGTGCCATTGCATTTGACATTTTTTCCTTTTATCCAAATGTGATCTTTGTCAGGGTATTTGTTTTTCTTTCAGAGTAAGAGTGACCTTTGTTGAAAATTACATTACAAAGTATAGAGATTGATTTACTGGGGAGGTTTGCTTTTTAAAACTAATATAAAAGCATACTGCTAGCATATGTTGAAGTGCATTCTGTTGTTAACTTTCCATTAAGAGTATATAGTTGGCTTGGAACATCTGCACATTGTCCCAGCATTCAGCGTAATTAATCTATGATGTGCCCATTGTACATTGCATTATTTTCTTGTGTAAAAGTTATTTAAAAAATGGCTTGTTTGCTGTTCTTGAGACCTTGCCACATTACTTCAGTTATGAGTGCTACAGGCTCACATTGCTTAGTAGTTTGATATTTTCTCTGTAACCTGAGTTGCTTGTTTCTCTTGCAGCCTTTGGATATCCCTGATGGTCGAAGGGCCCCATTACCTGCTCACTATCGTAGTAGTAGTACACGAAGCATTGACACTCAGACTCCATCTGTCCAGGAGCGCAGCAGCAGCTGCAGCAGTCATTCACCATGTGTCTCTCCCTTTTGCCCTCCTGAATCTCAGGATGGGAGTCCTTGCTCAACAGAAGATATACTCTATGATCGTGATAAAGGTGAGAGTAGAATGACCTGCCTTTACCTATGGGAGGCATGTGCTGTCCTGCTTTTACAACTACCTTCATTTTATTCATTACATCAGTTTTTGTTTTTGTTTGATGGTTCTGGAGGGATTGAGGATTTATCTTAAAATTGGTTTTGTTTGTTTACATATCTTTTTCCCTCTTGTTTGTGAAACTTCACAAACATCTTCCATAAATACGTCAGAGGAGCACAGCAAACAGTCTTAACTATTTATGAAGATTCTAATGTGAAGAATTCAGATTGTAACATGTTTATGTTTAAAAAAAGGTTTCAAGAAGGCTTGTGGTAGACTGTATGTATTCATCATGGGTGAGTTACTTGCTGATCAACATGGTGATGAAGTAATTTTTGGACTGCTTTTTAAAGTACTCTGCTTCTGAACACTTGCATTCCACTTGAAGCTATTTGGTGAGGTGCTCAGATATGAGCTTGAACAGTCTGATGGGGAGTAATTACTTGTCTGTGTATGTTGCATAACAACCCAAAATTTCTTAATAATTTATGTGTTTATATGTCAATATCTTGTGCTTTTTTTTTTTTTTCCAAAGTCTGTAAAATGTCGTTTGGTTTTGTAGAGGGAGTAAACTGGAGCTTACATGTTCTGACACAACATGTAGTATGAAAATACAGGCACCAGTGTAAGAAGACTTGATTTTTTGGACAACTGTTAGCTAATGAAATGATCCTTGAGCTTCTTGACAGCTAGTTGGAAACACCGGCTTTAGTTTGGAGGGATACAGGATTTGTGTAAAACATGCAAGCTAAGAGTAGTTAAGTTTCACAGAGAAAACAGGATTTTAAAATTTAATTTAGATTTACAAATGAGCTAAAGACAGCACTATATTGAGGTTGTAAGTAAGGTTAAGCTTTTTATGCAAGTATTGTCAGTTTAATAATTCTTAAAGTAACTTGGGAATAAGATTGGGAGCATCAGGAGAAGTACTTGGTTTCTGAAAAGTATTGCTTTCCCATCTTGGATTTGAAAGAAAGTAGTGGAAAACAAATCCACCTGCCCAAGTCCTGGATTGTGGGTGGCTTGTGTAAGTTAACCACTTCAAAGCAGAGTCGTAGCTCAACATGATAGTTGGCCAAGCTCCAAAAATAACAAAGGTATCAGCTCCCTCCAGACTTCTCTTTCTTATGGTATGCATGTGAACTGTAGTGTGTCGTCAAGACTGAATCACTATAGAGATATCCACTAAGGTGTTAGCATACAAGGAAACGTCTAGACAGGTTAATTTGTTCATATTTGTCCTGATAACAAGTATAAGTTAAAAAGCAAGGAAATGAAAAGAACAATTCCTTGTGCAGTTAGCACTCAGTTATCATAGTAATTGGAATTTTCAGTTGTACTTTATTGGCAGTAGTGTATCTAACCTTCTTAATGCTTTTCAATGGTTATTATCTCCTGTCTTGGATTTTTTGAACAGCTAATTGGAATAAAATTTACTGCTGAACTTCACAATGAATAGATATTTATTTGTGGATTTTGGCTTTAGAACTGGCTTTAATGCTAGGTTTGTATCAAAAGCCTGCTTTAATCATAGCATATAGGTGATGGTGATAAACAGCCAGCTTTGTAAAGTTAAAATAATCGCATTTCTAAATTAGTTTAAGGTACTTAATACTGTGCTTATGAAAAAGCTTGAAGTGTTTATCACAACTTTGTTCTTTAAGGACAAGATAGAAAAATATGTAGTTGTTTCTAAGAGAAAGTAATTTCTTCAGAGGTTGTAAAAACATAATCAGAAAGGCGCCTTTTGCTCTCAGATCATTAAGATCCCACAGGCCAATTGTTCTGAATATGTTAAATATTAAATTAATATTAAATATTAAATATTTAATAAGTTAAATATGAGGGATATAGGTAGAAATTACAAGGAAATAGCAAGCTTTGAGAGCTTATTAACATCTGTTGTCAATGTTAACTGCTTTATGAAACAAAACTCAATATTTTTCACACCTTCATTTTAAAGGTCTTTGTGATGCTAGAATAAAACTTGTGAGTTTGCTGTCAGGCCTGTTAAGTTTTGTAAAACTCGTTGTATAACCAAACACAGACACTTTAAACCAAAGATATTTTTCTGATACTTTTCTCAAGTTGAGGTTATATTTCCTCTCTGTGGGAATAACTTGGCTTTAGCATTTAAAAAATATAATTATCAGCTTTATGAATGCTCCTGAGTGTGTTGCTGAATAGGAAGGGGAGGTTCGTAACTTCAGTGAGACACATGAGCAGTGAGAGGAGCCAGCACTCCGTACAGGCACAGCACTGCTTTACATTTCTAAAGCATCTTCTATTTATTGTGCAAAGCTGTGCTTTGGCCTGAGGCCCTAGCAGCTGCTCTTTGGACTGTATCAGCTCTTTGGTTTACCTTTTCTGTGAGAAGCTTCTAAACCTTTTGAACGTTTCAAAAAAAAGTGAAAACTAAATTTCAGAAAAGGCCCACAATAACTGCTCCAAATGGAGTGGTGATACTGAATGGTATTGATTGGAGCAGAGAGGGAAGGGTAGGAAAGAAGATGTTTTAATGGCACCTGGCTTTATGAATTTGTTTTGTAGTATCAGCCTATTGCAAGGTGTCGTGGTTTAAACCCAGTCAGGTAACTCGTTCGCTCACTTCCCCCCCTTTTCTTGCCCTCCCCCTGCTCTCGGAGGGACAGAGAGGAAAATCGAAAAGAATGTAACTCCCACAGGTTGAGATAAGAACAGTTTAGTAACTAAGGTATAACAGATCACTACTGCTACCACCAATGATAATAATGATACAGGAAATAACAAGGGAAGAGAATACATCATCTCACCACCAGCCGACCGATAACTCGCCCCCCCAGCCCGACCAAGCTCTGACCGATACCTCTTCCAACCCCACAGACTCCCAGCCCTTCCGGCTAACTCCAGTTACCTCCTGGGCATGACGTGCTGTGGTATGGAATACCTCTTTGGTCAGTTTGGGTCAGGTGTCCTGTCTCTACTTCCTCCTGGCTTCCCCTCCTCCCTGGCAGAGCATGAGGCTCACAAAGTCCTTGGCCAAACCTAAACATCACTATCAGCTCTGTTCCCAAGCTGAAAGTCAAAACACTGCACTGCACCAGCTACCAAGAAGGGGAAAAATGACTGCTACTGCTGAACACAAGTGACTGCCTTGCTGCATTAAAGCTACTGGTTTCACTAGATCAGTTTTATGAGATTCTGCTCCATAAGATTATAATTCAGAGTGCTGCACAGCATACTTAGCAGCTGTGACAGAGGTAAAGTTCAAAGGCATCCTTAGGTACAAGCAGATGAAATTCACCTTTTTTGTACAAAAATAGATGGTATAAGCTGTTTTTCAAGGATTTTGATTTAGATGCTTTTGTGTAGCATTGTATATTTCCACTGTTGTTAGCAGGCTGTTACAAACAACATGTTCGTGAAGGTGAACTGAAGATACATTTTAACTTCTGGGCATCTGAGTCATAGTTTTTAAAATTAAAATTCTATGTGAAATCTTTGGATAGTTTTAAGAAACAGGTATTTTTGAGTACCAAAACAAATCTCATGGCTCACTGGCAGTGTTTCTTGTTTCCTTTAAGTTTTGTCACTTAAAACCCTGTTTTACAGATTCTTTTTGTTCTCCTATATGCAAGGTACAATTTGTGATATTAAGTCCTCTGCTTAAAATAGTATTTTTAGTGTTTAATTACAATCTTGAACATTTTCTAGATAACAGAATACATCCATTTTGGATATTTATGTTTATAAATTCTGTGTAAGGCTCCATATTGTCTGCTATGTGGTTATGGTAACAAAACTCACTTTAAAGGTTACATCTGTTAATCTTCAATCATTGTCATCTTAATGAAATTCGATTAGTTGACTGAAACACGCCAGCAGAGCACACCCTGCTGGTGGAAGGGTGGAAGATACAGATGTGTCCTCTGACGCGAAGGTTCCTGCTCCCCAGCCTCTGAGACATGTGTAAATGTGAGCCAGTTTAGCACTTAAGAGTTTACAGGATACACAAGTGGAGACTGGCTTAAGCTGTAAATTCCACCTCTTGCTACTTCAATTCATTGTGTGTTTGCCCAGTGCCCTTTTGTTCTCACACTGCTGCTGTACATGTAGAACTAGCACCAAGCTTATACATGTGAGCCTCCTAATAATCACACGTACTTTTCAAATAGTAGTGTGGTGTGTATTTGGTCAAAATGAAAGGCTACTAACTCAGAAAACTGAAAGCAGGGAGGGTAAGGAGAGCAACAGAATGGTTAAATTATCCCATATAATTTTTTTTCAGTTGTTTGACAGCTGTCTTATGTAGGAAGTTTCAGCCAGACAGGGATAAATAAACTGAAAACTTGATTGAAAACTGAACTGGCTAGACCAGACTCTAAATCTTCCAAGAACTGACTTTGAATTCCGTTCGATTCTTTCCTTGGATGTATTTCCAGAGTTTTCCACTACTTGGTGGAATGAACAGTAGCACATTTTATGTCTCAAGTTTTTAAATAGAAACTTGGATCTTCAGTTTTAAATATTAGAAGGAGGAAACAAACTGTCTGGGTTCTGTTAATGATTTCTGAGTTTGGAATGAGCTGTGAGGGCCAGCAGTGGAAAAGTGCCAACAGGACCACCATGCTCCCAGCTTGGCAAATATCCGTGATGTCTCTAAGCTTTTTCTGCCTTTGTACAGTAAACACCTAAAATTCTGTAAATAGAAGTTCTGTGTTCACTCCACAATAAGAAAGAGCTTCAATAATCAATACACTACTGAGGTTCACTTCAACTGGAGACGTACTTGGTTTTTTTTCTCGTATCTTTCATAGTAAATCTCCAAAGGGAAGTGTGATATTCGGGCTGGTTTGTGTCTCGTACGGGAGATGTTTCAAAACCTCTAATGATTAGCCTTTGTATTTGAGTCATGGTTATAAAGAAGTTTATGTAGGTACTGTTTGTAAGCTGTTAAAGACAAATTTAAATGCTTCAGTGAATCTAGATCATAGTGCTTGAGCTTTGGTTGGTTTTCCACTGTTGCTGAAAAGGCACACGTGAACAACAGCAGAATAAACAAAGGTATCTGAGTTTAAAATGGCAAGGTACCCCATATCGGTGGGAGGACTCAAAAGGAGCTAAAGCAAGAACAGTTATTTCTCTATAAATAAGGTGTGTTTATAAGTTAGGGGATCCTTCCCCCCCTGCTATTTTGTTTCATTTATTTAATTGCAAGCCCAAGCAAAGATTAGGAGTCACTGATAGTAGCCTGAGATAGATATTGCTCTTTGAAAAGGTAGAAGCCACTGCAGAAGGCTACTTTTCTGTGAGTTAATTATTTTTATACATACTTTATTTAATATCATGGTGTCAAGATGAGTGTTTAAAGTGAACTCTTTCACAGTATTAAATTTTCAGGTTTTTGTATTTCTGTCATCACCAAAGTTGAGCCTTCTCTCTTAAATTTTCCTGGAAGTATAAAGAAATCTGCCTGTTGCCTTGGATCCTGGATCTTTGCACCTTTAGTTCTAAGTGTGTCTAGAAGAATATACACAAGACATCTAGGCTTCTGAAGAATGTCTGTATCATGTAGTTAGCAGTGATGAGAGAATTAAATAGTGGCAGCTTGATTTTTGGATAACAAACAGCTTCACAAAAGCAGCTAAGGTTGGACATTGTAATGTATCAGCACCTGCGTTACAAACATGTTCTGTTTTTTGCAACTTCTATTCAGTACACTAACAAAGTGAAGCATTATGTTTAAGATACATGCTGTATACACACATCTTCAATACTTGTGTTTACGTGGTGAGAAGGCATATTATCATTACCACTCATAGTTCTTCTTGCATGTATTATGCATATTACCTTGTTCATTTATGTTTTTGGAAGTACATAATAAAGAACATATTTGTTTCCAGGACCACAGCTCTGCTTTGTTCCGATTGCAGTATTCTGGATAAAAATATCCTCCTGTTACGTGTTGTTATATGATAGATTACCACTGCACTGAAGCTTTTATTCAGAAGAAATGTGCTATACAAGGGTGTAAACCTGCAATAGAGGAAGCATTGTTGTGGAAGCAAACCAGCATAGTGGCTAAATTGTGAAAAAAGGCATCTTGTTTGGAAATCAAATTTAATTAAAAGCACTCTCAATCTCTAGTAATATAACTGCTTTAAATTTTCAGACAGTGGGAGTAGCTCACCGTTGCCCAAGTATGCTTCATCTCCCAAACCAAACAACAGCTACATGTTCAAACGAGAGCCCCCAGAGGGATGTGAGCGAGTGAAGGTCTTTGAGGAAATGTCGTAAGTAATGCCTTTTATATCAGCTGGTATCTGCAAAGCAGTAAACCTGTTTACTGAGCCTGTTCAACTGCAGATGAATAAACTATTCCAGCTGATGAGTTTTTCAGGAGCAAACTATTCTTAGAGTTTGTACAGAAGAGAAGTTGAAGTGTTCACGTTGGTTTGAAGAGGAAATGGAGTCTTTTATGCTTGAACTCTTTTTGTGCATTTATAAAAGGCAACAAAAATCCAAGCAGAAAAGATAAGGTACATTTAATTTCCTAAGCATTTATAAACTTCTTTCCATATATTCTTTTTTATTAACTTTTTAAGTGTTTGTGGCTTAAAACAAAAACTCTCTGTTGTAATTTATCAGTTCCAAGCATAGGTTACATTTTGATACATATAAAACCTATAAAATGAAATGAAACATATTTAGTGTTTGTAGATGATAGTATACTTATGGCATGGACTTTGCTCAATAGTTTTGCTGAGCAAGAAATTGGAAATTAAACTCTTGGACATCACATCTTTTTCCCCTAGACCCAGCAGTATTTGAGCACATGCTGTCAAGGTTGCGTGCTTAGCTCCTGTGGATGAAAGAATTAAGGAGGGGACCTTTCTTGCTCTAACAGCATTCATTGCCCCGTTGGATGGTGAAGGAGCAATGCTGGGTTATGGAGGAAGCCTCCAAGACATATTACACAGTGTTGGAAAGGAGAGGTCTATTTCATGGAGGTTCTCAAAGGGATTTAATATGACTAAATGCCTTGTTGCTGCGTTTTTTTTATTCAAGAAGAATTTGTGCTGCTCTAAATTACTGCAGCATTTTTTCACGTGCATATGTGCTGCAGATTTTTCTTGCTGGAAGTTGCATGTTTACCCAGTAATTAGTAAGTCATTTTTGTGACAGTGCTATTCTTAATGCTGTGGATCAGTTAGCTGACTACCAATATGGAAGATGTTTGCCCCTCTGTCCAATTAATCCCATTCCTTGTCATTCACATTTTAGCAACGTGTAGAACCACAAAGTTAATGATGTAGGAGACATCTTGGATGGCCAGGTACATAATCCTTTTTCTTGTTGTAGGTCTCGTCAGCCTGTCTCAGCCCCTCTCTTTTCATGTCCTGACAAAAACAAGGTTAATTTCATCCCAACCGGATCAGCTTTCTGTCCTGTAAAACTCCTGGGCCCCCTCCTTCCTGCTTCAGACCTGACGCTGAAGAACTCTCCAAACTCTGGTCAAAGCACAGCTTTGAGCACCCTGACTGTTGAGCAGCTTTCGTCTCGGGTTTCTTTCTCATCTCTGTCAGATGACACCAGCACAATGGACTCCCCAGAGGTCCCGGTACAGCAGCCGTCCCCACAGCAGCAGCCGCTTTTGCAAGAAATTCAGACTGAAGAGCATTCCTCTCCTCAGAGCTACGTGTTAATCTAGACCAAGGTGGAGCAGGCCTCTGCCCTGAAACAAGGACTGAGGAGACAGTAGTTCAGATACATCTGCATGAATTGGAAACCTTTCAGAACAACACGGAATACTTAGCAGCATTCTCAGAAAATATCTCAACGCTGTTCTTGGCAGGGACAGAATTCATATTCAGCATTTTTCGTGAGAAAGCAGTAATGCCTGCAGAATCCATATATCATTAAGCGTTTTAAGTGGAGACTATGCATTTCATAGTATGTTTGACCAGATTAGTACTGTGTCCTGTATTCTGTTTCAAATTCTACAGTATAAATAAGCTCTCTCTATATATATAAAAAGAAAAAAAAAAGTTGCCTGTCTGAATAGAAGATGTCTTGCTGTGTTGTGTCCTATGGAAAATACTGTACTTCAGGATTATGTTTACAATTGATCCAGGTGTTTATGTTTCTAACTTCTGTAATACACACAATGCAAAAAAAAGAAAAAAAAAAAGAAAAAAGTGGCCACAACAGTTGCACAGTGCCCACCCTATGGCCTAGCTTCAGGTACTTCTCTTGAAGTGTAAACTCAGGTAACTTGGAATGTATATCATATTGGGATATAAAATATTTTACAGCTACAAAGCTAAAGAGGGAACATCACTCTTTTGCCTTTCCTTATTTTATGCATTAATATTTCCTCATTACATTCCACTCTCTTGGAATAAGTGCATTCAGATCCAGGCGAACGATGACCCTGGACATGGGTGAACATGAGGAGAACCAGCAAATCTGTGATGTATATCACTTTGTCATGTGCTTACAAGTAAAACAACTGTTGCATTTACTGTCATTTCAATATATGTAAAAATGTGGCATTTAAAGGTTTCAGGTGTTGCTCAGTTAATGACTGTTAAACTGTTGCAAATAAAGTGTTCAGTACTAGGCTGTACATGAGAAACATTCCACGTTGTGTGTGAGAGAATTTTGAAAGACAAGAATGTTTTTGTTCGAGGACAGACATTTTTTCAGGTTTCACAGAGGGGATGATGGGGATTTCCTCTCATGTTTTTGTTGGCAATTAAGGATGTGAAATGCTACTGTTACTGTCTAAAAGTCAAATTAATGTTTAGTTTCTCTTTTGGAAATGTTCATTCATTTGCTGGTTGGAAATAGGTTTTCAGATTTTGTCAAGCAGTGTTAGGTGAGCAGCATTTTAGTTATGTAGTCAGTAATTGTGTTTTGGGATTAAAGTCCAAAAGTAGCAAGTGGGTGTTCTAGGAAGGGTG